TTGACTCTGCAGACCGTTTACATGCATAAAAACCTTCATAACACACAAGGGGACGGGTAATAACCGGAAAAGCATGACATGGGACCTTTAAGGGTAGAAACGCTGCTTTCAATACACACATTTCAAGAAGGAACAAGCATGCATTATCATCGGTGCATGACTGCTGATCTGGCCACTCTGGTTCTACCTGTCCTGATGAAGAAGGGACCAGGATCCAGATCCTCCTTCCCATCCTCAGCCGTACTGGGTCAACTCCCTTATATCGGGGCCGTGGCCCTGTTTGCTATACACTCCTCTTTAAAGCCTTTTCTACTTTTAAGATACTACGAGATATGTAGGGCAGCAAGTCAAGCATGTGAAGTCAAGATTTTTGGAAAACTTTTCAAATTCATGGCTGGAGAATTGTAGTCCCTTATCCGTAATAAGAACCTCCTGGCATCCGTACATGCAAAGACACATTTGCCCTTTGCAGTCTTGCTGAAGGGCTGTATAGGGCAAGATGAAAAACTCTGTACTCTGTACCTTAACAAAAAAGTAAACCAAGACCAGATTTACCCAGGGATAAATTCTGATTCTGATAAGTCACAATTTTTCCTCTGGGAAAGGTGGGCCCCCACTCTGGCCGCGGAGTCCTTGCTCCGGCATGGCCTTTGTTGACCCCTTAATGTCCTTGGTGATGTTTCTGCGGTACCTACCGCCTCAGGTGTTCTTGAACCTCCAGTCCCTCTCTTTTCATACACAGTCCGTCCCAATCATGCAAATCTGAATGTAAGCTTTTCCCTATGATATCCCTTCCTCGATATCTCATACACAAATTGACATTATTAATTTTAGTTAGTTATGTGTTTGAGCAAGAGTTCTATAGTACTGTATAATAGTAAAGTATAAAAAATAACAACATACAAATGTGGGACCCAGAGTAATATTGGGCCTAGCAAAGGAAAGGTAATGGACTCGAAACTCAATATTGTAAAAGCCCTTTATGTTTAGTTGTATTCAATTAAACTGTAATTTTCTGAAATATGTTCATGTACAATACCAACTTTAGTAGGTCAAATGATAGTTAAAAGGAGTCAAGCTCACACAGCAGCACTGATGGCAGCTCAGGGGTTCTATAGGTGAAATGCAGAAGAGATTAAGGCATTTTTTATTAGAATGATCCGAAAGTAGGCAGACACGTTGCAGTGATGTGCTTGTGTATTTTCAGTTAAGTTTACATGATAAAAAGACGTATAAAAGTAGTGACACAGATGTGTAACACATCGCAACTACAAAGAAAACACGACAACAACAACTGCTTGGTCAAAGTTGACATATTGCCATAAACATTATAATCAGGTCTTAATAAAAAACTCAAACAAGTAAGATGGAAAGGGGTCTTACATGAGTCTAAAATGTTACAGTTCCCAAATCTCCACCCAGCTTTGAACCAATTGTAGGACACACACTCAGACACAGCGAACTGTTGTTAGTCATAAACCGAGAGGTCAGGGCTGATTTTAGTCATATGAACACACAGATTGCTATTTATACCAGAACATCAGTGCTGCGGTTCAAAAGAAGGTCATGAGTTTGAAAAATGAACGTCAGGTCTCTCTGAAATATAATCTGATATGCACCTGCAGATGCTTTATTGACACATCTCTCTGTGTCTAGGATCGACCAACAGTGGCAGTATCGTATCTACTGTAAGAGCCTGCAGACCAAGGAACTCAACCTGCTGCATCACTACCTGGAGAGATCTACACTGACTGAGACACAACACTGCACAGGTGACTCACTGATGTACTACGCTAAACATAGACTAATATACAGGTGTACACAGCTAAACATGACTGATATACATGTATACATACGTAAACATATCAGTGATGTTTACCTGCATACACCTATACTGTATATAGGTCATGTTTACATTGTTATACTTTTATATGAGTCATGTTTAGTTGTGTACACCTGTATTTCACTCATGTTAATCGATACACCTGTCATGTTTACCTGTGTATACTTGTATATCATATGTTTAGTGTTGTATATTGGTCATGTTAGGTCTACATTGTTATAAACAATGGTGTACACAAGCAAACATTGCTTATATACAGGCATAACAATGTAGACCTAACATTACCAATACAACACTAAACATATGATATACAAGTATACACAGGTAAACATGACTGGTATACAGGTGTACTGAAGTAAACATAATTTATGCATAGCACTACACAGGTAAACATCACTGATTTACAGGTATAAAAACGTAAACATGACTGATATATAAAGTACATTACTAATTAAATGGTGTACACAAGTAAATAATTGACGAATAAATTACTCATAAACTGTGTACAGGTAAACACTAAACAGGACTGATGAACAGTATTACACAGGTAAACATGATAGATATATAGATTTCAACAGGTAAACATGACTGGTAGGTGACGGTGTACACAGGTAAACATGACCGACATACAGGTGTACACAGGTAAACATGGCTGGTATACAGGTGTACACAGGTAAACATGACTGACATACAGGTGTACACAGGTAAACATGACAGAGGGTGCGCAAATATGAACACATCACCCCCATCCTTAAAGCACTACACTGGCTACCCGTGGAACTGAGGATCGAATTCAAGGTCTCCGTCCTCACCCACCAGTGTGTCCATGGAACTGCCCCTCCCTACCTCAAGGAACTCCTCACCCCCCATACCTCCTTGCGGACCACCCGCTCCAGCAGCTCCAACTTCCTCAAACCCCCCAGGACTAAGCTCCGTACCATGGGAGACCGGGCCTTCTGCTCGGCTGCTCCCAGTCTGTGGAATGCTCTCCCCGACCAAATGAGAGCACCACAGACCGTGGAGGCTTTTAAAAAAGGCCTCAAAACCCATCTCTTCAAAAGAGCCTTTGCCTAGACCTTTTTATCACCCTTTTATTTATTTATTTTATTTTTTATTTTTGTATTGCTTTTTATTAATTCTACCGTGTTGTGTAATGTTTATTTATACTGTTCATGCTCACTGCTTGTAGCACTTCGGGATTTGAAATCAAATATGAAGTGCTTTATAAATGGAACCCATTATTATTATTATAACATGACTGACACACAGGTGTACACAGGTAAACATGACTGACATACAGGTGTACACAGGTAAACATGACTGACATACAAGTGTACACAGGTAAACATGACTGACATTCAGATGTACACAGGTAAACATGACTGACATACAGGTGTACACAGGTAAACATGACTGACATACAGGTGTACACAGGTAAACATGACTGACATACAGGTGTATTGCTTAAATTGTGTTGTTGTGTTTTGCTTCCTGTTGTTTATCTGTCAGAAGCAGAGCAGGATCAGAGAGATCCGGAGCAGAGCAGGCTGATCTTCCAGCTGGACGGTGAACAGTGGATGGTAAGCTGGAAATACATTCCACAATGTCTGAAAGTTAATAAAACCTGTTAATAAGTGAATATTTGTGCAGGACTTCCCCAGGGAGCTGCAGTGGATGACGTACCTCAAAGAGTGGCACGTCAGGGGGACGAGGATCTGCCGGCTGCCTGAGTACCTGGCTCTGTTCACCCAGCTCTCCGTGCTCCAGATCCCAAAGAACACCATCGCTGAGCTGCCTCCTGAGATCGGTGAGGTCAAACACGTTTTTAAACATGGATCATTTTCAGAGAGGGATCTGATTTCAGTGCCATCCTGCATACCTGAAGTTGTGTGTGAAACTGAAATGTTGACTTTAATTAAATGTCAACACATTTCACTTAACTTCATTAAGTTAGTTGAAAGCAATAATATTAAGTTGAACCTATTATTTTTCATTTAAACTTGATATTATTGCTTTCAACTAACATAATACAGCTATGTGAAATATGTTGACATGATACATTTAATTAAAGTCAACGTTTTAGTTTAGTGCATAATTTTTAAATACACAAACATAACAGAAAGCAAATAATGTACTTTGCAGGATGTGGCAGAAAAGGCAAATTATTAAAAAGAATTGGGATTCAACAGTGGTGGCAAACAAAAAAATAAATAAATACAACAATAAAATAACAATTAAATGTTCAAAAAGAAAGGAAATGATTGTGGAAAGTGTATGTATATCAGAGGCGAACCGTGTCTATCACAACTGGACCTTCTGTAGACACACACACCCGCC